AACAAATCAAATGAAGGGTTAAGAAAAGAGATTTAAGTTAAGCTGTGTGCAACACTTAAGAGAACAGAGATATGGAAAATGGAGGGATTTATCTGAAATGTGGCTTTTCACTTAGGGCAAAAGTGGAAATGAGTCAGATTCAAGGACATTTGTTGTTATTGTTAGGTGCTGTTGAGTCAGGAAATTGAAAGATGAATTACATTGGGAAAATCTGTCAGGGACCTCTCCAGAGTGCTGAAAAGGAACGATGTCAAGGGCATTTGAAGTAAAAAATGACGTTTACTTTAATTGTTAAGTGTTACCAATCCAGTAAAGTTTAATTTCCCCCCTTTTTTTGTTTTGTAAGTGATAATCTGAGTTTGTGGATTATTCAAAGAATCAGACGGCAGAAAGACCACCCTTCTTGTGAAATCGACCAATGAATTTGCATTAATATGTTATCTGCTTTGTTATTTATTCATTTTCCCTTAAAGTGTTTTTCTGGCATGTTAATATTACAAATGTCAGGAGCTGGTCTGTATCAAGGTCAATCAGTGTTAAAAAGAACACACACTAAACTCTGTAACACCAAAACAAAATACTCTCTTCTTTCCCATCAATCCAAAAGAACTTTGTATTTTAGTTAATACTTAATTAGCAAACACCTGTGGCTTTCTTCCAGGGGCTTTTTTGGGTTAATATTTCCCTCTTGAACTCTGTGCTTTCCATCCTGCCAAAAGAAAAAAAGCTCAAATTATTATCTATTCAGAATGCTCAATGTTATCGACATTATCTTCTGTATGATATTGTTTTGGGGATAAAGTTAAATAGCTCTTTATTATAATTATTATTGATGAAATCCAACTTTCAGGGAGGTTTCTTCATTCTCTGTTCCAAGTTCCTTAACAAACTATTCTAACATATGGCAACAATCCATTTTCACAGTAGACGTTTTAATTCTTGCAATCAAATAAAATATAGACTGTCTATTAAAGCAGGCTCAGGATATCATATGTTTCTTGGGAAACCTGGTTGAGGTCTGAAAAACCAGTCAAATGGGAGCGTGCCAAAGACACATTACATTACATTACAAAGACTGGGTAATCCCTCTGTGCACTCAAACAGATGTCCCAATATCACGACAATGTCTACAGCCTGTTAAACTCAACGCATTTTCTTCTTTGCAGTACGAATATAAAATTCTAACTGGCATTTCTACCTTGTTTCAAAGTCTTACCTAAGCAGTCTTGAGGGATAACAACATCTTTCTGTGGCACACATTGTTATCAGCACTGCTGCCTAACTGCTTCCCAAAGTGACTGTTCTCAGACTCCTCAAGGGTCAATGAAGTGTGGTCAATACAGTATTTTTTCCAATCTTGAAGATATTATCCTCTTGGAAATCTTCACAGCAGGGCAGTTCAAGAATGAGAAACATAGATCAAACATATCTTTGATACCAAAGCCAGGAAAAGACACCACCAAAATAGAAAACTATAGGCCAATATCTCTCATGAATATTGATGCAAAAATCCTAAA